GGGTGTGTCAGAGGCAGTGCGATTGGCACAGGACAGAGCAGAGTTTAGGGCTGTTGTACATAGGGTCACTATGAGTCACAAGCAACTCGACGGCACATAACTTCACTGAGGACCAGCTTTATTATGTGCTACCAAGTCGCTTGCGACTCATAGTGAGCCTGTGTACAAGACCCCTAAACGCCGTTCTGCCCTGTGCCAACCTCGCTGTCTCAAACACACTCACTCCCACCACCCCAATCACAGAATCGATCCATCTCATCGAGGGTCTTCCTCTCCCACTCTCCTTTTCTGTTTGTGTTTTTAGAAGTTAGCTGTCAGTTTTTCAACATCACTTGATGTTTTCTTTTATATTTGAAGAACAACCCTACTTGTATATTCTCTAAAGCATGATGTCTAGCTTATCCATCTGAACAAAAGAAGCATAGAGGAGAAACTTAAGAGTGTTCGTTCAAAGATGTCCCGCAGGGAGTGTAATGTTTTACTGGAATTTCATTCTGTTGCGCTGTCCCTATAGGAATATAAATCCCTGGCGTATGTTTGAAGTGGTGCCACAGATTAAGATAAGACTTATGTCTGTCCTGTAGGTTGTTCAATGAGGTAAAAACGCACTTTATGTGTTTAGGGAATGGGATGTAGTCAGAAGACTCATTCATTCATGAGAGTGACTGACAAAATAAGGGAATGAAGGTGGCTTAGTGGGAAGGAGTTGCCCTGACAGCCCAAATACAGTCACTTGGAATCGACCAGAAGGAGAAAGATGGACAGTTTCCTCCCGCGTGATTTACTGTCTCTGAAAACCACCTGGAGGCTCAGCCATAAGTCAGTCCCGATAGGTGACATGTAGCGGCAACAGCAGCATGAATCTGAGGTGCCTGGACAGCCACTACTAGCAGCCTGTAGTTGCTTCACAGATGCTCCTCTTTATACCTTCTGTGGACTCAGTAGCTTCAGAAATGAGAGAAGCAGAGGAAGAATAACAGAGCGGGCTCCTGTAAGTTTTGTTTCCTCATAAATTTTGAAAATGTGTAGTGTTTTCACTGGCACTGAAATGTAGTGTTTAAAAACGGGTATAAAATCGTGTGCATTTATTTGGAGAAACTTGAGTTTCTTAGTTCGCAAATCCCCTTTGCAACTGAGTTGATGATAACCAATGGAGATCGTGTAAAATTGTCCTGCTCAGTTTCCAGGGCTGGAAATGGTGACAGGTGTAGACGGCCGATGCTTTCCACCTTGCTGGGGCTGGTGGTTTCAAACCACTGACCTTTTGGATAGCTGCTAGGTGCTTAATTACAGTCCCACCGAATGCTGTAATAAAAATATTTTAAGTGAGGACCTTTAAAGACCAGAGCTTTATTTTCTCATCTCTATGGAGGCTGCGAGTCCCAGTCAGATTCCTGGCTGTGTCGAATTCCTTTCTTGCTGGTGGCCCTTGGCTCCTTGATGCTGCTTCACTCGTGGGCAGTCTTCACAGAGTGAGTGTCCGCACTTGGCTGTTGAGTGTCTATTCATAACTCGCATTTAGAATCGATACTGTCACAGCCACAATAGCTGGATTGATTGTAGATTAGATGACACTGTGGAAGACGATGACATTACATTATGATGATGTTGTTTGTTGCCATCCGTTCAGGTCCATTTATGACTACTCTGTGTGCAGTAGAACTATTCCAAAGGTTTTTCAAGGCTGCAGCCTTTTGGAAATAGATTGCTAGGTCTGTGTCCCAATGTGCTTCTGGGTGGGTTCAACCTGTCAACCCTTTGACTCCTAGTTGAGTGAGCCCTTATCTGTCTCCACCACCCAAGGACTTTGACTTGATATTATCCACTTCCACTGCTGTGGAGTTGATGCCAACTCATGGCAGCACCCCATGGAGCTGTCAATCTTTATAGAACACGTAGCCACAGTGCTCCTGAGACACAGCAGTCCTTAGAAAAAGCCATCAAGCTGGGGAAAGTCAGCGGAAGGGTAGTGGAAGAGAGGAAGGTCCTCTACCGGATGGATTCACACAGGGCCTCAGCAGTGGGTGTGCACGTGGTGGAGAATGTGAAGGTGGCTGAGTCTTTGTTCACTCGAAGTCGCTTAACAACAACAATGGTCAGCGACCAGAGCGTATTTGAATATTGTCCCGAACTACAGACACCTTCTTCCTTTGGGTTCCTTAGGGGATGCACTCCATAGGATCGATAAGTGGAAAATACTTTCATTTTTGCTGTTACTCTGTTCAGTTGACCTGTGGGGTAGGGTTAAGGTTAAATGGCATCTCCACCTATGTTACTTCTCTGCACTTACGCTTGGAGTTGTCAAAGTCAAAAGAGAAGAGTGTAGTATTTTCCTAAAGTGTAAAACCATAAATTAGCTTCCCACAAGGACCATGTCCAGATAGATTTTTTCACTTTTTTCCACGTATATTTTTTGTTTTTTCTTTTTTGTCCAGAGAGTTTTAATCACAGTGACTCCATCTAGTAATAAATGTGTCCACTAAATATCCTAGGTTTGGCCCCCCCGAGCACTGTCCCCTTTAGGAAGAGCTGAGGAAGGAAGGAGAGATATTTTTCTTTCCCATGGCCATCTTAAGGAACTCTGGTGGCCTATTGGTAAGAAATTGCACTGTGATCCCAAGGGCAGCTGGTTCGAAGCCCCCAGCTGCTCCACGGGAGAAGTATGGACAGTCTCCTCTTGTGGGATTAACTGCTTCTGAAAACCCACTGGAGGGTCAGCTGTGGGTTGGTTCCGACTAGATGATACTAAACAACAATATGGCCACCGTGAAGAAAGACCATTTGTCACTCATGGAAGTAGTATTTCTATCTCTTTGGGCTTATTATAAATCAAGATTATAAGTCTAATTAAAATTGAAATCGGGGAGGAGGGAGCTCGTATGATATTATAATGAATATTCTAGAAAACTTTCTGGCTTTATTTCTGTTTTTGGAGACTCTTGGGTACATACCAAACATTTTGCTTAAAAACTTTGGTAGGCTTCCCATGGCTTATGTAATAATCCAGGTTCCTCTTTTTTTAAAAAAATTATTTTAATGAACATTTACAGAGATTTTGGATTTCCATTCATTCATTGTTGTACTTTTCTCCCTGCCCGCCCCTCCCCTCCAGTTCGCTCATCTCTTTGAAAAGAAAAAAAAATTCTTTCATTGGTATATAATCACCCTGTCCCCCACCCCCAGCCCCAAGTACACTTCACTATACAACCTTAATTCTGGACTTTTGTGATAACCAAAATACCCAATCATATATCACCTCTAATCTGTTCTTTCCCTCATCTGTTTCAATATGTTGTTGTGTTAAGTGCCGTCGAGTCGCAGGTGACTCATAGTGACCCCATGAAGGAGAGTCCTCAACGCTTGGGTGCCTTTCATCCTCTCTCCAGGTTCATAGGGTTTCCGGAGGCAAGCTATTCTGGAAGTGGATGCCACTCCTTCCAAGCTTGTTTTAATCGGGGAGCTCCACCCCACACTCTGTCAGCAATGGGTAGCCAACCATTAATGCATTTGACACATCAGTGTCCTGGTGTTGAGCCTCACAGCAACCACAAGTGACCGTGGTACGGGTACACCAGGGCTATACGACCTAGAGGAATGTCTGAACAAAAACAAAGACAGGCCCAAGGGCCGTGGATTAAAAGTCACCCACCTTTGGCTTGGTAGCATCGCTTTCTGTCCACTGGGCCAGCTAATCTCTCTCTGTTGATATTATTGTTGTTAAGTGCCATCGAGTCGCAGGTGACTCTCCCTATGAAGGAGAGTCCTTGACGCTTGGGTGCCTTTCATCCTCTCTCCAGGTTTGTAGTGTTTCCGGAGCCAAGCTATTATGGAAGTGGATGCTGCTACTCCTTCCAAGCTGTTTCAATATAGTATACATATTATATCCAGTTTTTCTCAATCTTACCCCTACCTTGATGTCAGTCCCATTCTACAACAGTGGCACTATGCAGTATTTGTCCCTTTGTGACTGAGATATTTCACTCAGCATAATGTTCTCCAGGGTCACCCATTTTGAATATTTTATGAATTCCTTGTTTTTCCAATCAGGTTCCTCTCTTGGTAGACTAGCTCTCTCAACTTCAGTCTACTTTTGAAATATATGGGATATTTCTGTTTTCTAACTCTCTAGCCTTTTCTCTGTATCCGATGCGTGTTCTCGTTTTTTCCGACTTCTCTGCCCGGCATGTGCCGTATCCACATCCTCATGCTTCCGGGTGGTAGAGCTCTGTTACCTCTGTGACTCCTCTCCTTCAGGAAGGACGCTGTTGATGCACTTTGTCCTTCTTACCTGTAAAACTCAATATCCTCCTCCTCATGGAACTTTTGTTGAATTGCTTTTTGTCCTTTCCAAACCACAATTAATTCAGCCCGCTTTCATTAGCATCGTGACTAAACTCTGTTAATTTATTATTTATAAGATTCATTTTTAATAGTCTATTACAATTTCAGGAACAGAAATTCGGGCTTTCTCGTTTTGAACTTCTCTACAATTTACTGGATAAGTGACTTTGGGAAAATTGCTTAAGTGTTCATGTTTCAGTTTTATTATCTTATAAAACGAGGATCATTTTTTTCTTAGATTGTCAAGAGCATTAAATGGGATAACCCTCAGATCATCTCAGATATTGAACATTCAATCAATACTAGATATTAGCTATAACTTTCAGCACTTAGCTCAGTGTCTGCACAAAGAAGTTGCTTAATAATGTTTTTAAATGCAAGGTTGCACTTACACATACTTAAGAATTAGTTAAGCTAGTAATTGATAGGATTATTCTTGTAGTACCATGTAACATTTTACAACAGTGTTTAGTCGTTCTTGATAGAGTATTGTTTTATTTTTTTAAATGGACTGAGATTTTTCTAACTTTCTAAGTGCCAACGTAAATACTAAAGAGCAAGGTAAACACCTTCTGTTTTTCACAGAAGCACATGCTGCCTCCTGGGAGCCTGTTTAATGCACTTGGATGTACTGACATTCTGTCCTCCTGTCTCTGCAGGCCTTGTGTAGAATCACTCGCCATTCTCCAACTGCCTTCCAGAACGTTATTGAGAAGGTGGGCTTGAACCTGGTGTTAAGCACTCTGGCCTCTGCCATCTGCAAAGTCCAGCAGTACATGTTGACCTTATTCGCGGCTATGCTGTCCTGTGGAATTCATCTTCAAAGGCTTATCCAAGAAAAGGTTAGATTTCACCTTACTACTCATAAGGGCGCTCCTAATGGCTTAGTGGAAAAGAGTTGCTCTGGCAGTGCAAAGGTAAGCAGTTTGAATCCACCAGCTGCTTTGCGAGACAGAGATGGGCAGTCTCTGGTCACGTGACTTACTGTCTCTGAAAACCCGCTGGATGCTCGGTTCCCATCCGACGGCACAAGCATCTCTAATTAAAGGAGATTCTGGTGGCCTGTCTGGATGACCTTTAAAGTCTCATTTCTCTTGTATTTAATTTAGTGACTGTTACTCTGATATGCTTTTATTTTGTATATAGTCAAGTTTATAAGAGTTATAGCACCAAACTGAATAGCTATAAAGGTGTTTCCATGGTGGACTTGCAAGTGTCTCCCCAACCCCTAAACTGTGGTCCCTGGACTAATACAACTGTGTTCAACTGGGATTTTGTTGGGATTGCAGAATCTTATGCCTCCATGGTCTCCAGATGATCTATTTGAGGGTTTGTTATTTTTTTAAATTTTATTTTACTATTTTGTGTGTATGTACCATCAAATCAGATCTGACTGGCACAGGAGGAGATTACTTCTCCTTCTCCAGCAGAGCATCTGGTGTCTATTTGAGTTTTAAAGTTCGGGAAGCCTTGTCCTAGAGTATAAGGTCCAGTGAGGTGTTTGGAAAACAGATTTTCAGTTGTTTGACTTCTCCAGATTTTTCAGATCATAATATAGATTGTGAATCTTCATGAGAAGACTACAGCATACAACATGTAGAGGTTCATGGTCTAGCATCCATTTGCATTAGCAGCTATTTTTTTTTTAATTTTTTGAGCCAGAACCAACTCACAGCTGACCCTCCAGTGGGATTTCAGAAGCAGTATATGGCACAGAGCTTGGCTGCCTAACTTTCTCTCACAGAGCAGCTGGTGGATTTGAACCACATACCCTTTGGAAGCAGGAGTGGCATCCAATTCCATAATAGCTTGCCTCTGTAAACCCTATGAACCTGGAGAAAGGATGAAAGTTATACAGGAGGTGTCCAGGACTTTTTTTTAAATTATTATTAAATTTTATTAGTTTCACTGAACATTCACAGGGATTCTGGGCTTTCACTCCTTCATTGCCGCACCATTCTCTCCACCCTCCTCCCCAGTTTGTTGTTCTTCCCTGCCATCCGAATGTCTGTTTTAATTGTCCAATTGCCACAGTGCTTGTCAAAGTCAGTTCTGATTAATCTCCTTTGTCGGTGTGTCCTTTGCCATTCCCTATCACTCCTCCCTGAGAGAGACTTCACCCTGAGTCATAAGGAAAAGGGAATGGTGTATTCTCTTAGCTACTTCCTGCTGAAAAGGGACGCTGTGGGTTTCAGGGTGAAGATCTTCTCTCACTACTCTAAAGGGCCCCTTTGGCAGTAGGAAACACAGACTATTATGGAGATTGATTTTGGAATTTAGATGCACTCTTATTGATTGTGCTTGGCCGTACATGTTCATATCCTTGAAGATGTATTATGGGGGTGTTGCAACCTAGAAGACACAAATTTGACTAACAAGTTATAAGTACATGAGTCAAAAATTATGGAAAAGTAAAAGAAAAGATTCTTTCATTGCTTTACAAACCCTCCCCCAGGTCCCCTCCACCATGTAGCCCTCGCTCTAGACTCCTGTGATGACAGAAATACCTAGTCACATATCTCTTTTAAACAGTTTTCTCCCTCCTCTGTTTCAGTGCAGTATACATTATTGAACCCATCTTACTCAGTCTCTCCCCAACCCCAAGGACAGTCCCATTCTACAACAGTGGCATCATGTAATATTTGTCCTTTTGTGACTGGGATATTTCACTCAGCATAATGTTCTCCAGAGTCAACCATTTTGAATAATATTGCATGAGTTTCTTGTTTTTTAATGCAGCATAGTATTCCATTGTGCGAATATACCACAGCTTCTCTAGCCATTCATTTGTTGATGGGCACTTAAGTTGTTTCCAACTCCTTGCTATTGTGAACAAAGCTGCAATAAACATGGGTGTGCATATATGAGGTGTCCAGGACTTTTGTTCATAGGGTCGCTATGAGTCGCCTGCGACCCGACGGCCCAACTCCTTACCGTTTTTAATTTCTAAATGGAGCCACCAGAACCGTACACCCTTGAGTTGGCGGCCCAACTCCTTACCTTTTTTTTTCTTCTCAAAAACGGAGCCATCAGAGCTCCGTTTTATCACAGTGCCTCGTTTATTTTTTTAATCATCTTTTAAATGGCTTGCCTAATGAGAAATATGCTGGATGGCAGACGATGCCTTTATCCCAAATAAGAATAGTTTCTTACATTATGATGTAGAAAAATGGAAAATCAGAATTCAAGTGGGAGGAAATCCTATTCTCTTGACACTATGAATTCTAGTTCTCTTTAATTAGAAATCGTATCATGTGTGCACGTGCGTATTCTAGCACATGGAGAAGTTAGACACAACAGAAATTCTCTGGAGAAAGGTGCTCTCTGTCTGATGACAAAGTATGTCAATCCCATGCCCTGATATTTCACAATGAGATAAATTAAGATAGTGGAAACTTTTTTTTTTTTTTTGACAAGAGAGAGATTTAGGCAGGAGGTGAACAGCTCAAAGACTGCAACCCAAAGCCAAGCATCTTTGAACCTTTATTGAGAATCACCAGGAAGTAAATCACAGGGAAAATTCTTTACTAATAAAGCTAGGTTTTTCTTTGGTGACATCCTGATGCTTGTCTCAGAAATGATGGTTTTGTAAACACAATCTGAGAATTGCTTAGGAGCTGCTGCTTCTGCCTTGGTATCCAATTCTTTTTTATTTTTAAAATTAAATTTTATTAATTTTAATGAACATTTACAGAGATTTTGGGTTTCCATTCATTGTTGCATGATAGTGGAAACTATTAAAGAATTGCTCAAACCATGAACAGGGAAGCTCAGAATAAAGGATTATTAGATTGTAGGATTCCACAAGGAACTGGCCTTATTCCAGAAAGATTGCAAAATAAAAGGAAAAGCCAGCATAGACGCAAATAGACACTAGACATAATTCATATCATATGAGAAAGACAATTGTCACGTGTTTCAGACTTTTCTGACACGTTAGTGGAATAAGGTACGTAAGGTTTTAAGGAAAGAAAAGACAATCCAGGGGTGGTGGTTCAGTTAAGTTGAATTTTTATTCTGAAAAATCATGGAATCAGTTCCTATGAATATGCCAGAGAGTGAGCTTCAAATGAGCAAGAAATGCTTGGGTGAAGTGTCACACTGGTGGCGAGTGGGTGGAGAGAACGGCTTTGAGAACCAAGGCGAACTGATGAATCATTGCAGTAGTTACAGTACAGTTCTAAACCTGCACTGAGAGAGTGTGTTTGAGAGACAGACAGACTGACAGACTGAATGGAGGAGAAAGTGGAAAGTGACAAATGCAGGAAATTTTCAGGCCTCTCTGTAACGAAATCATTGGGACACCTTTGGGAAAAAGAAAAAAATAACCCATATGGTTATTTATTAAAAGCTGACAGCCGTATTTCTGATATTAGGAAACCAAAAGCAATGAGAACTCGTGGAACTTTGTTGTATTTCAATCGGTTGAATTCAGAAAACTTGTAGATCAGCTCGTGCGCATCCGCCCTGGCCATTTCCATCCCCTCCCGCTAGGTCTGTGACCTTGAGGGGAATTAGCAGGTGGTTTATCAGTAATGCACACTCTGAACTTCATGTCATTAGCTTTGGGGGAGTCACAGATTCAAACAATAATTTTTTAAAGTTCTGCTCTGTTCCATAGGGTTTGTTCACATTCCACGAAGACGGCCCCTTTAGATTATTAGTGACATGGACTAGGAATACTGGCTTTTAAAAGTTTTGCTTTACTTATTTTGACACTTGGAGCTGTGGTTCACTTTCAGCTCACCAGCCCAATTTGACCACAGAAAGATCCTTCAAGTTCTTATTTGACGTTAGTATTTTGACCAAGTAGCACAACACTGATTAATAACTAGCCTGGAGCCATGCATTTCCAGGGAACGGCCTTGGAGGACCACTGTGAAATTCTATGCATGCGAAACGGTGGAAAATTTGATTACTATGTTTGCTCATTTTTTTTTTTTTAGTTTGGCATACAGACACTCTGGTTGCTAACCGTGCATTTAATACATGGAAATTGATGTACACCTATCAGATCGCAAGTTTTGCTGTAATGCTATTATTAATCTGTTCACATTAGTAAAGGTGTATTCTATCAAAAGACATTGTACTTAGATCCTTGTCTAAGGCTGTTGTGCAAGAGGGTAACCCAAACACAATTTTAAATTTAATCAGTGTTTTTCATTCCCGTCAATAATAGACTGGAAAATAATGTCAACGTTGCTTCTGTGCCTGGTGTTTTTCCTTGAGGCTATTATTATTAGCTGATGGCCAGATTGCGCTCATTGATTTTCAGCTGGGGCAGTTTGTTGAAGTAGATCAATGTTATCTCCTGAGATTTGCGAGAACTCATTTTGACCGTCTTTTACCTTGTCATTATTTTGGAGTCATCTGGTAATTTTATCTTTAGGATGTATCCTGGTGGAATGTTTTTGCCTTTTGTTTAATTTGGTAAAGATAGTGTTTTGATTGTGATAGTAGCCTCGTATAATTTGGACAAATTAAGATCTTAACGTTCAGTGCCGTTTCATCATGCCCTCTGCATGTTAGGATCGAAACACCTGTTTCTGTGCCGCGGTGAGGTGAGCATCACTTCCCCTGGTCGTGAATGCTAGCCATCTAATTGTTATGCTGTGTGTTGAGGTCGAAGTCTAAAGAGCCTCACGGTCTTCCTCTCCATATGTAATATTTAGGTACATTGAGCTGTATGACAAGATGAATGTAAATCAAAGCGGAATACCTAGCAGATTGGAGCCTGAAGTGACCTGTGGTTATTTTGGGGGATTTTTTAAAGGGAGTTTTCATGATTCTTTTCTGGCAGTAAGTCTTTGCTGCCTATGCTTTTCAGTCCTGAAGTGCTCCAACTTTAATACATTCGGGAGATTTGATGTATACTGCTTCAGATCAGGCCTGGAGCCCTGGGCAGTTAGTTCGTGTCAGAGTCATTGTTGGCCAGTACTGTTTTTGTGTCTTATTTTTAATGAAAATGTAAGAGAGCTCTGAGTTTACAGAAGTATACTGCCACATCTTTCTCCCATGGAGTGGCTAGTATAGGCACCTTACTAAGCTTTTCTTTAAAAGCTGAGTGCTTCACCACTGTACCACTGTCCTCAGGTGTAGCACCTGCATGGACTCTTGTCACCACAGCTGGTTGTGACACAACAATTCTAACATCTTAAAGGACATGCTTGTGCTGCTGTTACCCTTTTAGCCAAACTCCCCTGTCCCAACAACTCACCCTTCTCTGACACTATAATACCTCGTTGAAATCAGCATGCACAGGGGATATGTAACTGATTTGTTTCACCGATTGTAATACATTGATGTTGTGGTGCTGGGGAAGAGTACCGACTGCCTAAAGAACAAACAGGTATGTCGTGGAAAAGGTGCAAGCAGATTGCAAGGAAGGATGACAAAGTTTTGCCTTTCATACTTTGGCCATGAAGCCAGGCTAGGCTCTTCTTTGGAAAAGTGGCATCGTGCTTGGAAAGATAGAAGGTCAGTGGAGGAGAGGAGGGCCCACAACGAGATGGATTGCCGCTGTGACTTCGGCAGTGGGCTCTGCTGTCTCAGAGATGGCGAGGATAAGTCACTAGGAAATGAATAAGCACAGGATAGGGCAGGTTTCAGGTTGGCTGTTCATAGGATCACAGTGAATTGTACTCAACTCGAAGACCGCTAACACCAACATTATGCAGTTAAGATTCACCCATGTGATTATACATATCAATCTGAGTGATCTTTCACTTGGGGATGTACCCCGCTTATGAGTGCTTGTACCCGCTGAAGTACCCTTGTGTTCTTTCCTATTTATGGTTATTTTGAATAATGCAACCTTCTGCTTTTGTATACAGGTATGTTTTTTGTGAATGTAAGATTTTATTCCTTGAGAATAAATAGAAGTTGGGTAGATGGGCATTTCATAGGTACATATTTAACTGTTTATTTTTTAAATTATTTTGATCTTTTAACAAAAGTTTATAAAGAACTTGCATTTCCATTCATTCATTGTTACGTATTTTCCTCCCTACCCACCCCAGTTCGTTTCTCTTTTTGAAAAAAAAATTCTGTCATTGTTGCACAATTCCCTTCCTTCCCATGGTACCCCCTGCCCTCCCGCCCCCGCCCCAATCTACTTTTCTATGCAGCTCTCTTATTCTGGACTGTTGTCATGCAAATAATACCTAATTGTTTATTCCCTTTAAACAGTTCTTTCCGTCATCTGTTTCAATGCAGTGTACATTATTTATCCCCTCTTTTCTTAGTTTCTTCCCAACTCCCATGTCAGTCCTGTTTTATAACAGTGACATTGCAATACTTTTGTGATATTTCACTCAGCATAATGTCTTCCAGGGACACCCATTTTTTATAATATTTTATGAGTTCCTTGTTTTTCAATACTGCATAGTATATCATTATGTGACTATACCATAGCTTCTCTATCCATTCGTTTGTTGATGGGCACTTGGGTTGTTTCCAACTCTTTGCTATTGTGAACAAAGCCGCGATAAACATGGATGTGCATGTATCTGCTTGGGTCACATCTATGGTTTCTTTAGAGTATATTCCCGGTAGTGAAATTGCTGGGTCAAATGGTATTTCTGTTTCCAACTTTTTGAGAAAGCACCATACAGCCTTCCAGAGTGGTTGCAGCATTTTACACTCCCACCAACAGTGAATAAGGGTTCCAGTTTCTCCACAACCTCGCCGGCATTATTTGTTTGCTGCTCTGTTGAATTTTGCTGTTGTTATTGGTATGAGATAATATCTTATTGTTGTTTTGATTTGCATCTCTCTTAGAGTTAGGGATTTTGAACATTTCTTCATGTGCTTGTTGGTCTTCTGCATGTCGTCTTTGGTGAAGTAATCCTGTGCCCATTTTGCAATTGGGTTGTTTGCCTTTATCTTGTGGTTAACTTTTTTGTTTATTAAATGTAGCTGCCATTTTTTTTTCCAGAGTGACATTGACCATTTTGTGTTTCTATTAGCAGCAATGTGTGGAAGATTTTACTTTCTCTGATTATTTTCTCTTTTCATTTTAGTCGTTCTAATAAGTGTGTGCTCTCCTCTTACCTGTGGTTTTTAATTTGCGTTACTGTAATAACTGGAATAGTGAACTTTATGTCCTTGTTTGGCATCTGTGTGTCTTCTTCAGCCTGTTCATGTTTCGATGTCCTTGCTGGGGCCAGTTGGTGAGGGAGATAGATTTGTGGTTGTGATTCTTGGACTACAGAGTATAAATTAAATTCAGGGGGTGGTAATAGGGAAACAGACTTTCTACTGTCTAGGTGCCAGAAAGGTAGAAACAGAGCTTCTCAAAGAAGCTGACTGGGTTGCTGATTCTATTTATTTCACCCCAGATGATGCGATTTTGATCATTTGGTTGAAGAACTGGGAGGGCCTGATGCTTATAAATATTTCATTAAACAGAATTGTACATATCACACTGTGTACATTCTTGTCTGAACGATGTAACATCTATTAGAAAAGGCTCGAGCTGGGACTGAACAATGGAATTTATTGCTGTTTGACTCGGATACCTTGTTACTTCAGCTCCTTGGCTCTGCTGAGGACTTTGGGAGTGTACATTTCTACTCTTTGTAGACATCTTGCTAAGAATGTAATTCCAGATTCTGGCAATTTATGTCCTGTGTATGTGTGTGGACTTTGTATATGTCTATAGAACTCTTAAATACAGTATATGAGAAGAGAAAATAACATTAATACATGCAAGTATTTCTATTGTAGTGTATTGTACCATTAGTTAAAGAAAACATAAAGATTGTAAGCCTTTCTTTCGTGTCATTAAAAATGCCTTATTTTGTGTTTTTGTGTACTGTGGAGTCGGAACCGCCCAGAGCTGAGCCTCTGGTGGGTTTTCACAGACAGTTAAATGAACAGGAGGTGATCACTCATCCTTTGCTGGTGTAGCAGCTGGTGGCCTCGAACCGCAAGCCTTTGGGATTGAAGCGCAGCCTGTTAGACCTCTGTCTTTTGTTATCTATTATGCTATGTCTTTTGTGTTTGCTGTTTGGCCCAGTGAGTTATGCCTATATACACAGTCACAATTCTCTTTCTAATAGTTTCCAGTTTTGTGACAGAGTTGTTACCAGATAAGTTCTATTCTCCAGCAGGCCTGGAATAAAATCCATCTCTCTCAGTTTGAGAAAATGACTAACCTTCAAGAGACAGCTTTCTTATTTTAAAATCAGATGGCATTGTCAGGTTTTTAGTGCCCAACGAGGTAATGCATGTTAATATTTTAGTTTGCACCGAGCCCAGTTAAGACTACAGAATGACATTCGATACAATTTTCTTTCCTTCTGTTTGTTGAATTATTATGATGTGTTTTCTTTGGTAGTCAAAATCACCCTCATTCATCTGTTCTCAAGAAACTTTTGTAAATTCCCTCCTGCAGGATTTTGTCACCACAATCATCAGATTGTTTGACAGCCCCTCCACGTCCATTCGCGCGAAAGCCTTCTTGGTTCTGTTACACATTTTGATACACAACCGTGAGATGTTACTGCTCGGCTGCCAAGCACGGTATGGCTTTCTCTGATTACTTAGTCAATAGCTCAATTCGGTATACAGTTTATTAATATTTTTATATGCTCTTTATAGACTATTTCTTGCTCTCTATGTACCTGTTATGAAAATACTTTTTTCAAGGAAAAAGTTCTCTGGGGAGGTTAATATTTTACTTTGAATGGAGCGTGGCAACTCTGAGGCCTCAGGGAAACCTCTGGGGCTGAAGCCATGTCGGGAATCTCTGGCCCCTGGATCTGGGAATAACTGAGGTGAGGGCATGGAAGTTGGTTCTAGTTTATACCTTTGGGAAACTTTCTTTGGTCAGTGGTTTGCTTGTTTTTCCTTGTAGAAATTTTGGGATTCTGGGTAGAAGGAACAACTAAATGGAGTAGATGAAGTTCCCAAGCCTGAGTCACGGAGTGTCTTCTGGTCTTCACTGGGCTCACCTCTCATGCTCTGTAGGTTTTAATTCCCTCTCCTGAGAGGAGACACAGCTCTGGTGGAATCGTTGGTTACACCCTTGATCCAAATGGCTGAGCATTCCAGCCTCAGAACCCAACAGAAGACCACTTGGGGTCACAGTCAGCTCCGTGGGAATGGGCAGCCTGCGGGGAGAGGCCACGCTGACTGTGTACCTTGGTCATTTCTGATTAACGTCTTCTCAACTGGCCGGTACATTCGCCGTCGAAGGCGAGCTGATGTCTAAAAATAGCTTTTGGTATCGGTTAATTTAGCTTTATACCTCTAGAGCACTAGGCAAAGCCCAGAGAGAGTGGGATTGACCTAGATTAGAAGTTGCTCATATGATAAATATTTTAGATTTTGTGAGTCAAGAGACAAATCTGAGAACATTATATGGATTCTTATATAAAAAAGAGAAAAAAAAATGACAAAATTGAAGACATAGTCCTCACATTGAGTAGAATTGGTTTCACTGTTATAACTGTACTAATGAGAAGAATGGAATTGATCTATTGATGAAGAAATAGCATTTTACTTTAATTAGATATCAAAGTCAATGTCCTTATCAAATTGATTGCAGATGTGTATATTTTCATGTTGATGTGTTGTAAGACTATTTAATTTTTAAACCTTGTCTTTTTTTATACAGGTAAATGCCAACTGTCATCACTCTTAGTGTTTATAATTTTAATTGCATGTATGAATTGCCCAGAAGGCTTTTCTAGGATCCTTTTAAGACTCTGCTACATTACAGATTAATAATTTTAAGTTGAAGATTGTATGGAATCTCCTACCATATAATCTATTTGAAAGCTGTAGAATCTCCCAATTTTGTTTTGATTCCCTCTCAGAACTTTTTTTTTACTATTCTGTCTCCATTGTTTTGAAAACTGAAGCTTCGGCTGTCTTGGCCATATTCTTGTTATTTTAGGTGAAAGGATGATTTCTGTTCCTATTAATCCGTTATCACGGGAAGCAGATGTTATTGTGGCTCATGTCCAGTACTTTGACTTCTGGCTTTGCTGCCTCTAATATCTCCTCATGCCCACTGTCAGCTCGGAAGAAGAGAGTTTGAGGACTGCTCGGACATCATTTCTTGTGCTCACAGTCTCGTCTCGGTTGCAACTCGAGTATCTTTTATCCATTGTGAATCACTATTTCTTCCCTGTCCAGACTCCAGTAACTTCTCATTACTTTAGAAAAATGTTTCTGCGCTTTATCTGTTCTCCTCCATCCTGCTTGGTCTAAACTCTTCTACAGCTATTTGTTTACTTCGTTCCAGCCATGTAACTTTTGTTGTTGTTTCTTGGAAACACTAAACTTATTATTCAATACACGCCTCTCCCTAGTTGCTGTTCTGTGTCTATGACGCCCGTCCCCACTAGGATTCATTCCATGGCTGGCTCAAATCATACAAGTCTTTGTTCAAGGATCTTTGCTCAGAGCTCGTCTGATCACCACTACGTAAAGTACCCACCATGATTTCAACTCCAGAAGCTCTGGTTGGGAAGAACCAAACAAGGCAGGCTCTTGGAGCCAGGATGTGCAGCATCTGGTCCCCTGTGGAAATTGGTGAGATATCTGTGTCCCCAAGTGAACATTTAGAAGCTTTATCAGTGGTGGGAAGATGGTGGTTGGAATGTGTGGCCCTGAACTTGACTTCTTCCCCAGAGTAACACACAGTGAGTTAGGTGCCTGTGGTAAGGGGGCCTGGGAAGTAAGGCTTAGCCTTGGCAGAGGAGAATGGAGAAGGTGGTTAAGAGCCAAGAGAGCTTGGGCAGAGTGATGTCCCGTCCTCGAAGCTTGCAGTGGACATTGGGCTTTAGAGCTTCTGCAGGATCCCACATGCAGGTGGCCGTGCTGAGTCCCCTTAGTGATGTACAGACTTGCTCTCTCTCTGGTTGTGGTTGTGATTGAGACTGGACAGTCCTCTTCTCAGGAAACCTGAAGCAGGACCTCACAGGTGGACCAGGCTGTCCCATCTGTGAGGCTGGGAGAGTGAGACAATGAGCTCACCTTCACTAGCTGCTTTATAACATATTCTGGCCTGATGAGGTACTCAGTAGATGAAGAAGTCATTAGTAGGTAGATCTTCAAATTACTGAGGAGTAATGATGTCATTTTGAGGACTAAGGTGTATCTGACTCAGGCCATTGTCTTTCCAGTTACTTGCTATGTGTTAGAGCTGCACAATGAATAAGGATGATAGAAATAATAGATGCCTTTGAGCTGTGGTGTTGGAGAACACTGAACATCCCATGGACGGTCAGGAGAACAAATAGATATGTCTTGGAGAGGGTGCTGCTAGAATTCTCTTTGGAAGCAAGGATGATGAGGTATCGTCTCATATAAACTTTGGGCATGTTGCTAGCAGGGGCTATTCCTTGGAGAAGGACAAGATGCTGGGAAAGATTCAGAGTCAGCAAAGGAGCGGAGGACCCTCAACCGGGTGGATTGATACGGTGACTGCTGCAATGGGCTCTTGTGTGTCAGGAAGTGTGAGGATGGCGCAGGATAGAGCAGGGTTCAGATCTTTTGTTCATAGGGTCACTATGAGTCATGCTTAACTCAACGGCACACCTAACAATAACAACAAGGAGATAGTTTTTAAAAGCCCACAGCCCTTTAAAATGGAAGAATGAGGAGAATACACAGCCGTTACTGAGGTGGAACTAACGGAAGTGGTAGGAAAGATTTGTAATAAGAGAAGGTCTTGTGTGGAGAAGTCTACAAAAGTTCTCTGCTCTTGAGACCCTCTATTGGATTTCCGAGACCACCTGTTGGATTTCCGAGACTGGAACCATTTGTGATAGGAGACACTCTGCTTTCTCCCTTGGGGCAGATTCAAATGGCTGACCTTTCGCTCAGCACACCAGAGCTGCTCTGAAATGTCATCTGGAGCAAAATGAAATGGAAAACCTCACAACTGGATCAATCAACATCATCATGTTGTTAAGTGCCGTGGTAGGCAACTCATAGCGGCCCTATGAAAGACCTGAACACTTGTATAACTTTTGTCCTTCTCCAGTTTCATAGAGTTTCCAGAGGCGAGCTATTTGTGAATGCTACTCCTGCTTCCAAGCTTGTTTTAATCAGGGAGCTCCACCACACACTGTCCACCATGGGTAACCATTATCACATTTGACACATCAGTGTCACAGCATTCAGCTTCACAGCAACCACGAGTTATCTCTGTCCGGCAAGTGGACAGACCAGGGCCATACGACCTAGAAGAATGTTTTGCCAAAACAGGCTCCACCCTTACTTACCCTTAGTCTAAAGCTCAAGGCCGCCCACCCACTTTTTAAAGAACAATAACACAGTGTAAAGGACCCCAGAAACTTCCCTTGCCTGACTGCCACCAAGACGAGCCGCCATTGAGATGCCAGCCGTGCCACCAGCTAGCAGATGACTTCCAGATTGGAGGGAGACTCCAGTCCTCAAGCCTCGTGAAGGGTTTTAAAGTACCACCTCGAGCAGGCTCCACCCTTACTTAGCCTTAGTCTAAGACTCAGGGCTGCCCACCCACTTTTGAAGGGCAAAAAGGACAGTAACACAACATCATAGTGAATGAGACAAAATCGACGCTATTCAGGATATCATTTTATTTGGATCCACAGTCAATGCCCATCGAAGCAGCAGTCAGGAAGTGAGGCGTGGACTGCAGTGAACACATCTGGCAGGGAATCGTTTTCAAGTGTTAAAGAGCAAGGATGTCCTTGTAAGCCCTAATGTCTGCTGGACCACAATTGTTAGTTGCTTCATAAGCATGTGAATGTTGGACAATAAAGAAGACTGAAGAAAAATTGATGGCTTCAAATTGTGGCAGTGATGAATTTGGAATTTGGTGGCATGGACTGTCAAAAGAACGAGTCTGTCTTGCAGCCAGGAACAAAGATGGTGAGACTTCTCTCACATAGTTTGACATCAGAAGGGACAATCCCCAAACACTTTATGCTTAGAAAAAGTAGGAGTCAGTGAAAGAGAGGAAGGCCTCCAGGGAAATAGATGGAGACAGGGTGAGTAAAACAATGAACGTAAGCACTGCAGGTTGTGGGGCTGATACAGGCTCAGACAGGGCTTGGCTGTTGTGTATAGAGTCATGGTGAGAGGAGCCCATTCGACAGAACCTCACAACAAAGACCCCAACATAGGATTCAGCCAAAGACAGAGGTTCATGTGGTCAGTATACACTAAGTGAAACAAGTCAATATGTGACAACATCACAAGGTTCACTCCATCAGGATAAGGTCGAGGAGTACTGTCCTCGCTTCATCTCTTCAGCCCATGGGATAGGAATGTGCCATTTTGCCTCAGAGTTCCAGGTGGTCAGCCTGGCGAAGTATTCTCTTCATGTGGCTCAAAAAGTCATCACTGTCCAGGTGGAAATGACTCCTACCTGATGTCCTTGTTAGTCCCCGAGGCTGTAAACCACATCATTTCTGTTGTCCACCTTTCTCCCAAGTTGCTGTTGATGGGTTTGACTCTTCAGAAAGGGCACCATTGTGTTAGCGGTGCAACTTCCTACAAACCCTGCCAGATGAGTAGATGGG